CAAAAAGAACATCACCATCCAAGCAAACCAACGACCCTGGATGAGTGGGGCGGTTCAGATTGCTAAAAGCACTGAACTCGGCTTTCAAGTCTGGTGATAGAGAGGCACTAAGGATAGAGCGTGCCTCAGTGAACTAACAAATTCTGCAGAGTGGGAGAACAGACAAAGCATGAAGCAGAATGATGAAAAAGGGGTCCAGCAGTCTAAGCCTATAGCAGCAGAACTATAGAGATAGCTCAGGATAACCTGAGCCACTCTAACTAGAAGCTTTATCAAAAAGGAAAGTTTTAAGCCTAGCCTTAAAAGTAGACAGGGTAAAAGTTAGTAGTGTAGCCTAATGTGGCTAACTGAGCAAGCTAAAAGAGGCTAACCTGTTAGCTACAGCTAGCCACGCTCTAACAGTTACTTTGTTCACCAGAAACAGATTTTTTCAGTTTTGTTATCGATCAGGTGAAACTTCATCGGTCATTAGACGCGCTAACGCTACAGATGCTCACGACTCAACAACCGAACGCTGCGTGATGTTATTATCGTTGTCTAGGCAACCACGATGTTTTACGTCACTGGCAGGAAGCAGGACCTGAGCAGATCTGGTCCCTTCAGCGCCCCCCCCCCCCACCCTTTGAAGGATGCTTCTTTTTGCAGAGTTAAAGCCTGGCCGATAAATAAGGCATATTATGGCCTTTTAACGTGATGAATAATGTAAAACAATAAAAAGTTAATATATAACTGCCTTACCCCCATTCTGCCAGGCCTGAGTGTATTGTAAGTATATTGGAGGAGTGTGGGGGGGGGTGTGGGAGTGTGCAGAGCTCTCAGGAGTGTGTCGGTGTCTGAGTGTTTGCTGAAGGAGCTGCTGATGTAGATGTGAGCTCACTGTTTTACGACAGGACAGGGATATCGCCGTGTTTCACAGGCGTTGGCAAATCCCCCCCCCCCTGCTTTCATCTTCCCTTCTGACACAGTTTCGAACCAGGCGAGGATAACCGTCTCTGTGTATAAAAGATATATCAAAAGATAATAAGCATAATCCTTTGCTGTAGCGGAGGAACAAGTCATTGTAATTCATGGCATGCGGCTTTCCAAGGCTGACTTTTTGTGTGTTTTTCTTTTCTTCTCCTCCGTTTCCCACAGTCCCGAATGCAGCGAACCCGGAGGGGCCGGAAACCCCAGAGGAGAACGCCATACCGGAGTCCAGCAGTTCCGGTCCACCCGACCCGAGCAAGACTGGGCCTGTGATGCCAGGAATCCCTGGTGAGTGCTTTCAGACACTTCGGCCGTGAACTCTGGATGAAATAAACGCTTATTTTTCTCTCTGAAATCAGCATAGCTCAGTCCGATCAGCTGCTGGCATCCAACAACTTTCAAGTCTACCACAGATTCCTAGATCTGGACTTTGACTAGGCCTTTCTGACGCCTGCGAATGAAAATTAATCGTTTTCTACTCGTCTTTTTCAGCCTCTAACAGGTTTTCCTCCCATCAGTTAGGGCCTGTTTTCCACACAGCATGATTCTGCCTCTTCTGTGTTCCCTAATTTAATCAAAGTAAAATATTATTCTGATGAAAAGAATCAATAGAATTCAAATATAATCAGAAATAAAGACATTAGGATGGATTCATTCCATATGATGGTTATTTTAGACTAAATCTGTTTTAATAAAGCTGATTTTGGGGTAATTAGTGTTATTTGGCTTAAGTCAGTTCCATCCTGTAATTAATATTTCAAGCAGATGAAGCATTATTTTTTCCTGCTCGTGCTAATAATCCTTTTAGCATCCGCAGACAGAAATTAATAACATAGTTTATCCTCTTAAAGTATATTTTCTCTCATTTGACTCGTTTTAAACTCTTTCCTGTTCCAGCGCTCCTCACAGAATGGAGGAAAAGTCTCTAAAATGAAGGTTGCGATGAAACGACCTAAGACCACACCCTAAACAAACCCAGCTCGCCCTGAGTCACAGAGGGAGGGTGCTGCATTGTGGGAGGCTTAAAGACGCAGCTCATTATTGCATATCTGCCTTAAACCTCATTAGAGTTGCAGATCAATGGAGATCAAACGCAGGGATAATTGAAGGAGTCACTCCAGCCTCCAATGATGCTGTCAGGCTGTCTTCATTTCTTGTTTTTCACCTCCAGCTTCTTCATGGCTGCCTCCCATCAGAAAAGCTTCTTCTTCTGCTGCTTTGCAGGAACTTTTCAGCTTTGAGCGCCGCAAACTTCCCCCAAAGTTCACCCTGTTCCTTCTGTCCCCATGTGATAAGCAGCGATCCCTTAATAGTTGCTTATTTGACATTAGCTGCTCTAAAAAAAGATGTCCCTATGTCACTTTTCCTGTATTCCCGGGTTTTCACCTGCCTGCCTGCCGCGGTTGGATCCGTCATTATGTCAAGCGAGGGTGGAATGAAGGACGAGTGGCGGTGGGTTGAGGGGCTGATATTTCAGGAATGAAATTTCTGACAGCCTCTCTCCGCGGCTCGCTCTCCGCTGCCCAGAATGTACGAAATTCCTTCAGTCTCTGATTTCAGCGATAAGAGCAGAAGTGGTAGCCTTCAATCAGGCCATTTGGCGGCGATAAGGTGCAGTTATCCTCTTATCAATAAATGCTTAAGAGCAAAGGAGGCAGCAGCATGCAGACACAGCCATTAACGGGGCTGGCAGCTCCTGAGCTATGAGACTTTTCTGTGCCTGTGGAGGTAAGGGGGGGTGTTAGAGGTGAGGAGGGGTCACGGACAGTAAAAGAGTGATAGCTGGGGGGGGGTTCTTTGGCAGCAGCTGCGTGCATACATGGAAAACAGATTTGGTTGTTCTCCGATTTCAGTGACCGGCGGAGCCAGGATTTCTCCTCCCCATCCCATCCTGAACCCCCCCCACAACAAAAGGATCAAATCAGATGTACAGATGTGCCCCCCCTCTCCACATTTGGTTTTTCCATCGCTAACTCGGCCTCTGACACACAGAGGATGTCCAACAACTTGCCCTCGCTTGAAAAGCAAAATACAAAAGAACAAGAAAGAGAAACCAGAGCGGGAATCTGAGTCCTGCTGAGTGGCGTCCTCAGATCATCGGAGCGCCATCAATTAGATGACATGCAGGACGCCGTTAGTCACGACACGCAGACCAGAACGTAGGATGAACTCCGAGCTGATCTACTGGGAAGCGGGGGGGCTGTCTCCTCTCACCGACAATCAATTTTCTCTTAACTCGTTCAATTGGAGCGGCTAAACAACCTCTTTATTTTCTAATTAAACTAATTCTAGAAAATAAAGAAATAAAAATGAAGAATCCAGAACAGATATCCTTCCTGTTCCTCATAAAACTAACCTCATCCCCTCAAACCGTCGCACCTTTTCTGAGATTAGAACTAGGGATTATTTTACAAACTGATTAATTTTCAGTTAATCGATTGATAATCGGATAGGATAACGTTCATCAAAGAAGATTTATTAAAGAATTTAACCAAGTGAAACTAAAACTTTTCCACTTGAGGAGTTCTCAATAGAGCAGATTGACGGATAAATTTACCTTGAATGCAAAATGTTTACATATTTTTTACAGTCTTGGTATAATTCCTGCTCTAACCTGGTCGCTCTGTCAGCTAACAGTCTTTATACTCCAGTTAACGATTAATCAATTAGTTAGTAAGTAATGTTTATTTTTATAGCAGCTTTCACAGACATGGAGGTTGCAAAGTTCTTTACAAAATTAAAATACAAATAAAATATATTTGCTGTCATTAAAAACATGGCCATAAGACAACCGTTAATCTACTAGAATTAAAATGCTTTCTTAAACAAATTGGTTTTCAGTTCTCTGGCAGCTCAAGCTGTGATAAAAGAAGACAAACTTTTAATTTTGGATAAAAAGAGACGAGTCTGAGCAGAACACATCTACAGGTTCATTACTTTGTCTTTGACTATGACCCAGAATCTCTTTGAATAACATTGATTTTTGAGTTTTTGGTTATAATGTAATGAAAATGTAGAGTTATTGAAGCTTATCTGAGGCAAAGTAGATATTAAGTCACTGATTATTTTGAATTCCCAATAGTTTTTTTCTATCAATTAGCAGAAAGATGGTTTCTTCTTTCCTCTCCTCAGCCTTAGAAAGATAAATCATGGCTGCCCTTTTCGTGACCTCCCCGTCCTTACGCCCTCCCTCTGTCTCTGATCTCTCCCCAGGCCCTAAGATTCAGGACGACCCGGGTTCCTCTTCCAGTTCCGAGGGCTTCTTCAGCTCCAAGGTCGCCGTGTTCTCCGCCATAGCGATCGGCTGCATCGTCTTCCTCGTGCTCATCCTGCTCGTCGTCATCCTCCTCATCAAGGTGCGCAAGCGCTCCAGGAAAAATGCCCACTCGCAGGCCCGCCCCTCGGCTTTGTCGCTCAGCACTCTGTCTAACCCCAAGCTGCCCGGCGGCACGGCCGGCACGGAGCCCAGTGACATCATCATCCCCCTGCGGACAGAGAACAACTACTGCCCCCACTACGAGAAGGTGAGCGGGGACTACGGTCACCCGGTCTACATCGTCCAGGAGATGCCTCCGCAGAGCCCGGCCAACATCTACTACAAGGTCTGACGTGCTTCGCGGAGCAGCAGCAACGGCCAGCAGAGAGAAAAAAAGAGGAGCGCTTGATTTACGTTCTTGGGAAGAACTTTTTCCTTCGCATTCGGGGACTTGAAGCCCCCGGTTATTTGTACCACCTGCTGCACAAATCTGGAGAAACATGTACTGACCAGTCACCAGCGGGGTTAGGGAGCTGACTGATGAGACCCCCCCCCACACACAGCCTTCCTTTCACCCCCGACCGTCGACCCTCTCAAAAGGCTCCCCTCCCACCCTGTACGTCCCCCCCCCCCACTGCCAGAGAGGCGGGAGCGGAGCGTCCGACCAACAGATGGAACTCTCTCTGTTAACGGACGGAATAGAACTTATCTCATCTCCCTGAAGTACAGTCTGCGCTACACCCAATTAAACACCATCCCAGCACACACCAGCCGGAAACAGGCGGGGGGCACGGGGGGCGGGGGGGTTTGGTGCAGAGAGCCATTTGGTCTGCAGCTTGTGTCCAAACAAGAACGGAAAATAAAGACAGAAGTGGGTGTGTGTGTGTGCAGATCTGTGCATGTGACGGCGGTGGGGGGGGGCGCCGTTTCTGGGCCATGGAAAACTCTCCAGATAGCTCAGGTATCTTACACAGTGTGTGGAATAATGTGCTCCTCTCCCTGACGCACCTCTGATGTTTGCCTTACTTACTATTTTTGATGGAGGATTTCCTTGAACCCTGATTAAGTTCACAAAGCAGTTGTATTTTGTTAGACTTTTCCTACGAGTGCACAATGTATAGAAACTAAACCCGTCATCGTCACGCCGCCATCTCCTCTCCGCCTGCATCATCTTATCGTTTTTACTTTCTAAGGAGGGACTTTAACCTGGACTCCAGCTCTGGAGGCGTGTCGGCGGATCCCTCCAGCGCCGCTCTGATGTCAGTGTGTATTTCAGGGTGTGCCCTCAGTCAGGGCGGTTGGACATGTCCGGACCAGTTCTTCTATGAGGGGAGACTTTATTGGATTTGATGTCTAGATACTGTAGCCTCAGCTTAAAAAAAAAACAAAAAAACAGACACAGAGCGCTCCAGTTGGCACCGATCGGACATCTTAGCGGCTTCCAGACAGGCAGGCAGGTTGGTGTTTGTTTGCTGTTTCTTTTGGTTGAAGCAACAAAAAAAAAATGTTAGTTTGGGGCGTCGGTCGGATGGTTCTCCCTGATTGGCTGGCCTACTTAGTTATGATGTCCTACATATAGGTTTGGACGGCCGCCGTCTGTAGATGAGGCGGTGGAGGCGGTCAGCTTCGTGTGACTAATCTGTGCCATCTTAGAGCCCACGGTCAGCAGCCTGAAAACGTTCCTGTGACTTAAACCTGGAAGGATAAGGGAGGTGGGAGCGTTGGGGCGGTGTGTGGGGGGGTTGTTTAGGTGGTTTCTGCAGCTCTCCATCCTGTCTCACCAGCTGTGCAGTGAATAAAAACGCTGCGTAGAAATATTCAGCGAGGAAGCTGCAGCCCAGCTATCAGACAGCCCGGGGCGACGGCATCAAGGCGGGATTTCACCGCAGCTGCATGTGTGAGGATGGGGGGGGGGGAGGGGGTGTTTTTATGTGTTCACATAGGTGCTTGCTTGTGCTTATATTTGCAGTTTCCACTCAGTTGATGCTTGCAGGTGTGTCTGGCGCTGCTATGACAGACTGGAAACCTTCTCTGAGCAACCGAGTGCTAAATCCTGAGCTAATGATACGGCAAGCCATCGGTGCCAAATATAGGTGACTTCACAATCCATTTAGAAAAGAAATAAGGTTTAAAAAATCACTATAATAAAAAAAAAAACAGGAAAAAAACAATATATGATAAACCAGCAAGTCATATTTTAAACCTCATTTGAAGCTGTTCAATGCCTGTTTATAAGAGAGGGAGAAAAAAGAAACATTTCAGCTGCTCATAAACAGGTATTTATTGCATGGCTCTATCACAAAGCGCAGGTCGCTGTAAAACAGGCCAGAAACCCCTAAAGGAGGCCAAATTTTACACCAGCAACTTCTAGCTACAGATAATAACCGTAGTGAATCCCCACATTCTGGGAACTTCTGATGTTTAGGGAATTTCTTTACAGGGTTGGAAGAGTACACCAATATCGGGTGCTAATGTCTTGCCGTAATGGGAGGAGATCTGGAAGCCATAGCGTTGTCTTTGCACACAGGGCAACAGAGACACACGGAGACGAGCAGGTCCAGGTTCATCTCCAGTCAGGCTGGAGCGTAACGTCATCAGCTGCCACTTCCAGGACGGACATCTCCCTCAGACGGGCGCTGCTGAGTTAAAAGGCGACCCCGGCTTGACGACTCGGGGAGGCGGCTCTAGTGTGTCGTTAACCTCTGAGTTAACAACCTCAGCAGCTGCCGGGATTTTTTTTGTTTTTTTTTGCGGCCCTGCGTTTTAACTCAGCATGCACCCCTCTGCAAAACTCATCTAGAGCATATATTTTTGTTTCGGATCACCGCGCCTCCATTCATCTACACCAGCTTAGGGAGTCATTACCAAATTACCGCAAAGCATAATTCATTTTCATTCATTCTAGCGACCGTTTAGGGTTATTCCAATTCTGGAGAAATTATAAAAAAAATAAAGAAAAAAAGTCGGCCATGACATGTAAATATATGGATAGAGCCCAATTTAAGATGTAATTTCCACCTGAACACTGATCATAAGAAGAATTTAAGATTAGATTTTTGTAATGGAGGATGTTTGTAAATAGCCGTCTTTTTAAAGTGTGTTTTGTATGGATCCTCGCCATTTTCTTTTGTCTTCATTTTCTCTTCCTTTAGATTTTAACTGAATATTGCAACAGAGCTGTCTTTTACGCAGCCTCCAGTATTGTCGAAAAAAAGTCTTTGTTACCACACGTGTTTTAAAAATATTAATAATAATAATAATAAAACAAATCTAGGATTCAGAGTTTTTTTTTTTTTTTTATGTTGCCATTCAACAGGGATTTATTTGGTCAGACTGAACCTTTGTCACCGAGTGGCTTTGAAACGGATGGGTTACTGAAACCATGATGATGTTGGAGGCGCCACCTCACCCTGCTTATGAACACTATGTTATTCTGCTAAATTTCAGTTAGCTTCACCTTTGGCAACATCATAGAAAAAGATGTCGGGTCTGAGTTGAGTTTTAATAAGTCCAGAGGGCCGGAAGGGGAAGGAAGGTGTTCGCTCACCGATAAATCATCTGGCTTCCTCCACTCATTATCCGCCGGGCGGTCTTTCCTTCTAAAGATGCTCGCTCACCTCCTTCTCTCCTTTGTCCTCCCATCCTTCCTAATTTAGCACAAGGATGCTGTAGGATGGTTTCTGCTATATTTTTCAGAGCCACAGTATTATAATTTTTTTTCAATGTGCATGTAAAAGCAAAACCTGTTGAATTTATTTTCCTTTTTGTTCGAAATCACAAATGTTATTTTTATGTTTCTCGTTCTTGTCATTCACTTATTTACCGCTTCTCAGCGTAACCTGTTGGCACCAGCTACAATGGAAACAATGTTCCACCAGTTTGGAAACTACAGCTTATTGATGAATAAAATTTTTCCCATGGAACTCGCTCTGATGTGATGGTCTTTATTAAAGGATCCATGATTAGTTTTAACTCTAAATTTATTTGAGAGATATAATGAAGCAGAATGATGAAAAAGGGGTCCCTATGTCCTCCAGCAGTCTAAGCCTATAGCAGCAGAACTATAGAGATAGATCAGGATAACCTGAGCCACTCTAACTAGAAGCTTTATCAAAAAGGAAAGTTTTAAGCCTAGCCTTAAAAGTAGACAGGGTGTCTGCCTCACGGACTAAAACTGGTAGTTGGTTCCACAGGAGAGGAGCCTGAGAACTAAAAGATAAGAGGTTAAAAGTAGGGTAGCGTAATGTGGCTAACTGACCAAGCTAAAAGAGGCTAACCTGTTAGCTACAGCTAGATACAGCGCTACCCAGCTCTTTATTGAGAGCGAAGTGCTCTGTTAGGAACATAAGGAACAATCAGATCTCTGATTGTTTACATGTTAGCTTCTGCTAATGGTGTTAGCACTAGCTTATATAGCAAACATTAAATCAAAAGCTGATATATTTGTTTGATTTCACTGATATCTCATCTATAACACAGTGCAGCCTGTTCTATATTTACATCAAACACAATACAGTAAAAAACAACTTTGCTAATGTTAGGCTTCCTGTGGTTATGCTGTAGTTTCCATTCCAAACCACATCATCTACCCAGCATGCATTGCAGGAAAAAAGATGGATTCCTCCTGTACATTTTGAAGCAACTAGGAGCTTTTTACGTATCACAAAAAACAATTTTAAGTTAATAGATAAAAATGAGAACACATTAAGACCAAAATATTTAACTAGTTGAGATTCCCTTTTAATAAATGTAATTTTAGCTAGTTTTCAAACAGCATGACACTGCCACCACCGTGTTTCATCATAGGGTGAGTTTAGTCATTTCCACAATAAATGGAAACATATATGTAGGACAAGTTTTAAATTTCATTCTCATCTTAGCAAATCACCCTGCAAGTGCTTAATGACTTCTTTTAATGGCTTATGAAACCATAAAGGATTTAGTTTGACCTTTGAAGTGCACCAAGAACAGTTTTCCCCCTTCCACAGATTGCTCCACCTGATCATGTTGGGGCACTGAAGCTCCTCCAGAGGACTCTTTATCCCTCAGATATCATCTCTCCCAGTCTGCTCACTCACCATTGGCAATCATTCCTGGATCAGTTGCCCCTTCATAACACCAAGATGACATTTTCCAGCACTCTGCTGGAAATTAGATAATTAAATTAGCCTCCATCTTATGTGAATCATGTGTCACTGTCATGTGGTAATGTCCCAGGAACAGGAGAGTGTCAAAACACGGAAAACATGGACAGCTGCTGAATAAATGTAGTTAAATGCTTAATGGCTGACAGCATGAAACAAACAAATGAGAAAATATTATTTTATGTGCAAATCAAGATGCAAAAACAACATACAGAAGGAAACCATTGAAGCGTATTCAGAAATGTCACCTTTAAATTTAGACACAGAAGTTAAATAAACATTCAAAGAACTAAAATCAGATGAAAACATTGAATTAAGACTCAAATCAAATAAAGAACGACACTTGATCCACAAAAAGATGACTGGTTTTCAAAAAAGGGACATTTTATGAAGAACCTGATGAGAGAGAGAGTTAGATGTCAATTGCACCTGTCTTTGCATCACAAGCATGTTTGAAACCATGTCTGCATAACTTTTGCCTCTGGAAACCCTTGGTTTAGGACAGAGGTCACAGATTAGCGGACCGCAGTGCGGATCCGGACCCACCTGATTTAAAACATTCATAAATTACTGAATGTTGTCCAACAACAGTGTTCAACTTCACTTGTTCCTCTTCTCCTGTTAATACGGTAAAGCCCTGGGGAGCGTCCGGCTCCAGGCTGCACGTGATCCAAATGAGCCAATGAGCTGTCAGTCTGGGTTGCTGCTGCTGCTACTTTTAGACACAGCAGGCAAAGCTGTGGCAAGCCGGCCGATGGGAAAGAAGGAGAAGAC